CCCGCAGAGGGTCAGCGAGAGAGACAACAGCAAGTGCAGCAAGCGGCGTGAGCGTGGAACGGTCGTGGAAGAAGCAGGCAGAAGCAGGCAGAAGCACCAGAGTCGAGAGTGAAGGACAGCGACGCAGTGGCGGAGGCCGGGGACGGAGCCGGTGCAGCGACTAGACTAGGCAACCTAGGCAGTCCTACGCCTGACGCAGCAGGGGAGGCTAAGCTACACAGTGGTGCAACACCTAAACTAGAGTACACAGGGTAATAAGATCCAGCAAAACTAGAAGCGTCAGAATACAAAGCATGCAAAAGCAACACCTATCTGATCCATGTCTAACTCAAAGATCGGCACGCCCTGGCGGAGCAGGCTGTGCCAGTCGGGGAGGTCCGGGGCCGGGCCAAAGCGACGACGAAAGAGATCGTCGAGGCGGCGGAAACAGCGGGCGGTCGGGTGCGGGCGGCGGCACAGAGTGCCGCAAAGAGGCTCGGTCTGAAGCTGGTACTGGCAGGTGACAGCACCGGAGCCGCCGGTAGACGCTAAGCTGCGCGGGCCGCCACCACGGCCACTACCTCCGGAGGTGCCGGGCCAACCAGGCGGGAGACGGGCCCACTGCTGCGGCGACTGTTGCTGGGACGGTGACTGCTGCTGGGGCGGCGGCTGCGGCTGGGGCTGCTCCTGCTGCGGCTGGGGCTGCTGCTCCGGCCCACCAGTGGTAGTCCCCGCAGGCGGACTACCGTCACCACCACTAGCGCCACCACCCCTACCTCCCTGGCGACCACGGCCACCGCGGCGCGAGCGCTGCTGCGGGTGGACCGCACCAGCCGTCTCTGTGAGAGGGGCCGCCGAGGCGACCGCAGCCGAAACGTCAGTGAACGTACACTGGGAGGGGGCACAACCGTGAAGATAGAAACTGCCGGCGCACCGCTCGACTGAGCGATAGTGCGCTGGCGAGTCTCGACCTCTATGAGGGTATCGACAAAGGCAGTGAGGGTGAGGTCACCCGGGTGCTGGCTAAGGAAGTGATCGCGAGCACTAGCGAGGCGGTCTGGCAGGCGCATGGCGATAAAATAGAGCGTCATGCAGAAAGGGGGGGGGGAGCGCAGTGAGCTGGGCAGCAGTGCTGGCAGTGCGATAGCGGGTCTCTAGGGTACGCAGGTGAGTGGCAAAGTCTGCGACGGTAGGGAAAGCTGCAAGGTCTGGGAAAGCATAGGGAAGAGCAGGCGACCAGCAGAAGCAGACGCGGGTGTGGAATAGCGAGCAATAACAGCGTCTAAGTAAGCTTTGGCCGTCTCAATAGTAGCAAATCGCGAGCGCTCAGAGACAGGGAGGGTGTGGCTAATGGCAACCTGAGCGACTGCATCGCGGGAGTCCCAGACCGCACGGGCAAGCGCAGCAGTAGAGAAGGTCTCACGGTCATCAGAGGAGGGATCAGTAGGGAGGGGAGCAGGTGTGGGGGGCGGGGGAGCAAGCCGTCTACATGGACAACCAAGGAGTTGCCATCCTGGCGCTGACCTGTAAGGTGGCGGCGGAGATCGGAGAGCCAGGCGGCGAAGTCAACCGCATGGCCCTCGGCGTCCAGAGCACGAAGTCCGCCATCGTGCAGGGTCAGCGGCACAGCTCCACAGGAACAGAGCGACAGCCCCCTCCAGCACGGCGGCCGCGAAGCGCCTCAGCACGAGCGAGCAGAGGAGACGGAGCCCGAGGCGGCTCGGCAGGACGAGTCCGGGGCGAAGGGGCCAGACAGGTGCGGTGGGGCCAGGCAGGTGCTGGCGGGGCCAGGCAGGTGCTGGGGGGCCAGCAGGCGCGGCGGGGCCAGGCAGGCGCGGTGGGGCCAGGCAGGCGCGGCGGGCCAGGCAGGCGCGGCGAGGCCGGGCAGTGCGGCGGGGCCACGCAGGCGCGGCGGGGCCACGCAGGCCGGGCGAGGCCAGGCAGGCACGGCGGGGCCAGGCAGGCGCGGCGGGGCCAGGCATGCACGGCGGGCCAGGCAAGGCGCGGCAGGGCCAGGCAGGCGCGGAGGGACCAGGCAGGCGCGACGGGGCCAGGCAGGCCGCGGCGGGGCCAGGCGAGCGCGACGGGGCCAGGCAGGCGCGTCCGGGGCCAGGAAGGCGCGGCAGGGCCAGGGAGGCGCGGCGGGGCCAGGCAGGCGCGACGGGGCCAGGCAGGGCGCGACGGGTCTAAAGCAGGGGCGCGACGGGGCCAGGTGGGCGCGACGGAGCCAGGCAGGGCGCGACGGGCGAGCGGGCGCGACGAGGTCAGGCAGGGCGCGACGGGGCCCAGGAGGGGCGACAGGGCGAGGGGGCGCGACGAGGCTAGGTGGCGCGACGGGGCCCAGGAGGGGCGCGACGGGGCTAGGATGGCGCGACAAGGCCTAGCTAGGGTACAGGCGGAAGCGGTAGGTGGGGGATGCTAACCTACGCGTGATACCATGTTAACGTGAGAAGGAATAATAACTAGAGGTGGAAACCTAGAACAAATACTAGTTGGTTGTACTCACTAGAAGCATACCTCAGTCTAGGCCTATAACTTCTACATAGCTAATATGTATAAGTTGACAGAGTTATGGATAAGTCAAAGCCTAGAGGATGAGCTGCTTGATTTTCGGGAGACAAATTTCATCTGCGTACACAGATAAGGCTGTATACTTCGTCTGAAATTTTAGACCAAGGCGAAACACCTCAGACTTCCCTAAAAGTTCCAACTTTGCCCTTACTTCCATGATCCATCCCCCTTTTTCCGCTAGCACTATTCCCTCTTCCGTATTTCCAACAACCACGGGTACCTGAGTAAAACGGAGGTTGAAACCAGATGGTTTTTGCGAAATATCAGCATATACCAGGGCGTACATAGATGAAATTGCCCCCCTCTTTGCAAAAACTAGGCTACACCCTTACACTACAGGGCTCTCACTGCAGGTCTCAGAGTCTTGCTACACCCTGTCACTGCAGGGCGGAGATCTTCTTCCAGGAGGGGCGGGAGGAGATTCTCTCCCACCACTTGTTGACATTGGGTCGGGAGGTGATGAGGTCCGAATCCCCTGACGCCCACAGCATGGCCGTGTACGGCAGGTGGGACAGATCCGCCAAGGAGAAAGCAGACCCCGCCAGGTACTCGCTGCTGGTCAGGTGGGCCTCGTACACGTCCAGCACCACAGAGAGCTGGAGGAATCAGGGGCGAGAGGCAAGAGTGGAGGGAAGAAAAGGAGCCGTCAGCAAATGGTAACCCCGGGAATATTTTCAAGCAAATTTTACAGAATTGGTACTTCGGTCTCAACTGCCGCCTTAACTTACCTTCGCCTTGAGCTCAGCTGCCTTGGCCTCATCCGGCTCGCCCCCGCCGAACATGGGCTTGAACACCTTCTCTGCGATCAGCGCTGAGATGGGCGGGTTGTAGTTCTGAGCCTCCACCTCCAGCCACTGGTTCACTAGCGCACGCTCCTGGAGGACAAGAGGACAAGAGGGGCGGTTGAAATGGATTAGAGGAAACTGAAGGTTCAATTGTGCGATTACGAAGCATGAAAGTACAAGACGAAGACTGAATGGACATATGCTCTCTTTTCCTTCGGTTTCGCTGATCACGGTTGTCCGCCATGCGTACCTTGAGCGTGGAACCAAGGAGGTCGGTGCCTTGGCTAGAGTTCTTGTCGGCAATGTAACGAGCGATGGCACGCGACTCTGGTCGGCGGCAAATGGGGAGTCAAGAGAACGAATATCAGGCAACGAATATTTCACTGAGAGCCAATGAACTGGAGTGGATGAAATTGGATAGGATACAAGATGAGATGAGAACGTACCGAAGACTTGAACTTCCCCGTCATCTAGGTAGGGAATAACTCCGAATGGCTGCAGCAAACAAGGCCACACACAGCATACGGAGTACGGTTCAGATCGAGAGGTGCATGTCATTGGGTTTTTCAGAGCGTGAAATTCGGAAAGAAATTTCGGAAAGGGATTTCAGAATGTGAGATTTCAGAATGTAAAATTTCAGCCGACCAACCTGCTTCTTCTTGAACTCTTCCGACTTGTGCTCGCCTTTCCCGAGGTCCACCGGAACCACCTCGTACTCCTGAAACGGACAAGGTCGCCATCATTGCTTCACTTCGAATCTCGAGTTTCGGAAAAAACAAGAAGCGAGGCCGAGGTGACATTCCCAGGGAAAAAACCTCAGAGATTCATCCTATTAGATGCTGGAGGGTCGTACCGTGACTGCCTTCTCCTCGAGAGTGGTCAGCACCCTCTTGGTGCACGTCGACATGTTCAAGCCGTAGACCTTCACTGGAGCCATTTCAGCGGGGATAGCGGTGAGTTCGGTGATAGCGGTGATGGGTGCCGGACGTTACGGGATTGGAGGAGAGGCTGAGAGAGATTGTTCGATCAAATGGCTTAGATGCTTGAATGCAAATCACAGTCGCCATGGCTGTGTAAATACGCTAACTACGCGCGGGGCCGAGACGAATTACCTAGGATCAAACACAAACGGAGTGGAACGTTCGAATCTCGGGAGCTTCTGGAAATTAGCTAAGGCTGCTTCGCGGACGCTTCTGTCCGTCCATGACGACAGCCCAGCGGGCCGAGCGGACTGTACTAGATTCGTTACACGCACACATAATCCAAGTGTTGAAAGGCGTCGGTTGGTGGGCTCGACTCGAATGATGCCTTGCATGAGCTTGCAAGAACCTGTCTCGAAGGAAACCCCGAGGAAGGAAATTCCTGGCATGCAGCGAATGGCGACAGGATTGTCGAGACTTTTGACGAAAGGCGAAAACACTCCCCTGTGGTGTGGCGAACGACGAACGGAAACCCCTAACGAATGTCGTCACACTAACTAAGAACCTTCCTGGGTAAGTTGGGGGCTGGCTGAAACAATGTGATGGAGCGATGACGTCAGCCTGGCTGCACAAAGTCAGGTGCAGTCGAATCTATTTGAGTCGGTGCTATGCGTTTCAGATCGATTTATCGATGTTATTAAACGGTTACGACACACATACCATATTACAGCAGCATTTTGTTGCATTGAAATCCATCATTTCCATCATTCACTTTGAATGTTGGCGGTTTCTACTGCTATGCAACACAAAATCCATCTTATCTTCGAGCACATGGAATCCAGAACAGCCCACCGATTTTACAGGGAGGGTGAAGAATACTATTGAGAGCGTCACACCACCCCACCACTGTTTTGATCATTGGCTTATGATTTGCTCTTTCGGTCGTATGCAAGCTAAGCATAGAGCTCTCTCAACTCCTTGGCAAACGCCTTGTGGATCATATTTCGCTTAATCTTGAGAGCAGGAGTCACAAGGCCGGACTCTGGCAGCCATGGATCTGGAAGCAGCTTGATCCTCGCTGGCACCTCAAACTTGTTGAGCCCCGCATCCTTGCTCACCTGCGACAAGGCAAGGCAAGAAGGATGGCAATGCCAGAGGGATTAAATACAGCAGCTGGGTCTTTGCTGCAACTGCCCGGAAGCAGCTGGATCTTCACTGTCAACCTTGTCGAGCCCTGCAACCTTGCTCACCTAATACAATCCTAAGGCAGGGCAAGGGGAATGATAGGCATCAGCACAGGGTAACAGAAGGACATACCTTTTGTAAACACCTCATCACTTCAGCCACCACTTCCTCATTCTCGCACAGCTTCGCATACTCCTCCTCTTCAATCCCTCTACTCCCCGCGAAGTCCGTCACCGCAGCTGGCACCGGCACCACCAGCGCGACCACAAAAGACTTGGTCGAATCCGCAAAGAGCAGGAGGTTGTCGACGAAGGGGCTGACTTGGAGCACCGCCTCGACCTTTCCCAGGGAGACGTACTCCCCGTGCTGCAGCTTGACTATGTCCTTCTTGCGGTCGATGATCTGGATGCACCCGTCTGGGTGAACGAGGCCTATATCGCCCGTCCTGAACCACCTCATGCCGTGCGCGTCCTCCTGGTTTTGAAGGAGAGAGCGGAGAGGAAGAGAAGGGACAAAGGGGGCAGGCACGAGGAAAGCGCAGGGGGTTATCCCGATCTGACTTGGAGCAACCTCCTTGCCTCCCCCTTCCCCAGAGGAAAGGGGGGGAAAAACGAAGGGACGAGCTGGAGATTGCGTTGGCATGTGATCAACATACAGGAGACCGGAAACACTTTTCTTTACCTACTGTCTCCCTGGCCTTCTAGTACCCCCCAGGCTGACTTCCTGGCAGGATTCAGGACAAATCTCCCTGGCCCCCGAGCACACCTGGCCTCCCTGGTCTCCCTGGCACCTTCTCAGTCTTCTACTTGTTCCTCCAGTACCCTGGGCGGACGTTCCTAGAGGCTCCTCCAAACGCACCTCATTTAGGCAAGCACCCAACCACCAAACACCAAGTCGAGCAAGTCCAGCAAGTCAAGGGCACCACTCGCCGAGACCACCTCTTCAGTCTTCTCCTTACCTTCCAGCACCCTAGGCTCCCATTCGTTAAGGCATCTGAACGCACCTCAAGACAGCAAGCATCAAGCACCGAGCACCAAGCACCAAGCACCCAAGTCCAGCAAGTCAAGGGCACCACTTACCGAGAACACCTCTTCAGTCTTCTCCTTATCCTTCCAGTACCCCAGGCTCACGTTCGGCCCACCGATGAGAATCTCCCCCCGTGGGTTCGGGTGGTCCGTGGTGCGGTAACCGCCCTCTTCCCAGTCGATTAGCTGAGGGGTTGTGTGGGAGGAGGGAACGAGAATCAATGAAGGGAAGGGGGCAACAGGTAAGGGTGGTCCGTGGTGCGGTTGATTTGCACATGATTTGTAGTCTAGTATCAAGCATTCTTTGAAGCTCACCCGGATCAGGTTGCAGGGGATGGGCGGCCCCACCCGCCCCACAGACGAGTCGTCCCATTCTGAGAAGGTTCCTCCTGCTGCCGTCTCTGTGAGGCCGTAGCCCTGACTGATGGGGATGCTGCACGTGGAGAAGGGGGGGGGAGAGGGAAGGTCTTCGGGTTTAGATTGACGTGATGAAGATGAGAGCAGCAGCAGCTGTCTCTGTGAGGCCGTAGCCCTGGCGGATGGGAATGCTTCAGACCACAGAGTGGGAGCGGCCGGGGGGGAACGGACATATGGGTCATACCACGAAGTGACAGTTCTAAGACGCCTAAAAAAAAATCATCTCAAGTTGCATGTCAAAGGGAGAGGCAGAAGGGAAGGTCGGCAACATGAAGTGACCTTCGTTCAAGTGAGGCCCATTGAAGAAGCAGATATTATCTAAAACGGAGTCGAAATTCACTCAAAGCAGATAGAAATCTTACTTGAAGCAGATATTCATGAATCGTTGAGAGTCTGGAGAGAGAGGAGCCCCTCCTGACAGCATAAAGCGGAGGTGGCCCCCCACAGCTGCCCGCACCTGGTGGGGGGGAGGAATGGGGGGATGAGGGATTGAGGGGGGAATGGGGGGGGAGTGAGTGGGGGGAAAGTCGTAAATCTAGAGAGAGAGGAGCCCCTCCTGACAGCATAAAACGGAAGTGCCCCCCCACTGCTGCCCGCACCTGATGGGGGGAGATGGGGGGAGGGGAGGAATGTGATTGCGGAGCAACAGGGGGGAGGGGGGAAATGGCACCACAACAGCATGATGCGAAGCAGCCGCACCTGGTGGGGAGAGATTGGGGGGAAACGGACAGGGGGGGCGTGACGAATGGGTAAGGGGAGCAATGGCAATGGCACCACAACACATGATGTCAGGTGTGGTACAGGCACGCTGCAGGGAGCCAGAGAGTCATGATCACACACCATAGAGCACACACTCACACTCACAATCACGATCACACTCACACCCACACCCACACTCACACTCACTCGCATTCCCACGCACACCAGAACTCAAACCCACTCCCAAACTCACACTCCCAAATTCACTCACACCCACACTCAAACTCACTCTCACACCCAAACCCACACCCACACCCACACCCACACCCACACGCACACACACACTCCCAAACTCACACTCCTACTCACACCCACACTCAACAACCCACTCTCAAACTCACACTCACAATCACAAACACACCTTCCGAAACACCAGCACGTCCCACAGCAGCCTCTCCACGCCCCACGCGCCGAACCAGCTGCCCTCGATGGCTGCGAGGCGGCGGGAATAGGCGAGATTGAAGAGCGTTCTGGTCACCACCGGGGCTGCTGCGATCTGTGCACGGGATGCGGAAGGGGGGACCATGGACCCAACAGGAGGGGCACGAGGTAAGGGGACGGAGTGAGAGCCAAATCAACCAGCTGCCCTCTGTGGCTGCCAGGCACCGGGAATAGGCGAGGTTGAAGAGCGTCTGTGTGACCACCTCCACTGGGGCTGCTACAATCTGTGTGTGGGGGAGGTGTGAAAATGACACAGCCACCGTGAGAGAGGGCCTCAACTGGCGACAGGTGGGAAAGTGGGGCAGGAAGGCAATCAGGGTCTGTCACCTGTCCCCCCCTTCATCTCACCTTTCTCCGCACGGCATCTCTGATCCGGTCCAGGATAGCCAGGCGGCCACCGCGGGAGTACACCGCAACAGCAGCTAGGAGCAGGAGGAGCGCCCAGGACCCGCCTCAGACGAAGGTGCCAATAGCACGTGTTCTGATTTTGAGAATTCTTTAAAAAAAGGGTAGGACGAGCGCCCAGGACTCGCATCAGACGACGGTGCCGCCAGTAGCCCCGCACGGCCACCTCGAAAACACCCCACGACCCAACTTCCGCCGCACGGCGTCTCGGTTCTGGTGGAGGATAGCCAGCACTGCCGCCATGAGCGTTGGCCGCAGCTGCGGCGCGTCTCCCAGCATCAGCACAGCATGCATTTGCACAGTACGTCTTTGAGGCATCCCCCAACTCAGCTTTCGTCTCGCGGCGTCTCTGATCCGATCCAATACAGCTGGCACGACCACCAAGCGAGGTGGAGGGCCGCAGCTGCAAAGATGCGCTTCAATCAACTGCACCAGGCTCTCACATTCCACCGCACCACACTGCATCTCTGATCCGACCCAGTATAGCCGCCATAGCCACCATGAGAGTGGGCCGCAGCTGAGAACGAGTGGCAGGAAGGCAACCAGGGTCTGCCACCCTTACTCGGCCTCACATGCAACTCACCTTTCTTCCCACGGCATCTCTGTTGCGACCAGGATAGCAGGAACGGCCACCATGAGAGTGACTTTTGAGTCGATTCAAAAGCCACCATGAGAGTGGGCCGCAGCTGCGGCGCAATTTCCTTGGTGCCGGGCTTCTCTCTGGGGGCCACGTCCACGAGAGCAAGGCGTCTGTCACCTCTCCTTCCCTTCGTCTCACCTTTCTCCTCACTGCATCTCTGATCCGATCCAATATGGTCGGCACCGCCACCATGAGCATGGGCCGCAGCTGCGGCACATCTCCCTGGGTGCCCGGCTTGACTTCCAAGTCAAAACAACGCCTACATTCCCTCACCTTTCTTCTCACGGCATCTCTGATGCGGTCCAGGATAGCCGGCACTGCAACCATGAGAGTGGGCCGCAGTTGCGGAGCGTCTCCCTTGGTGCCCAGCTTGACTTTGGGGGCCATGTCCACAAGAGTGAGGGGGGAGCCGTAACCGATTGATCCGCCTACAGATACTGCTCCTAGCTGGCAAAAACGAGGGCGGAGAGGGGGACAGGAGGGAAGGATTGGGTCGAGGCATCCGCTGTGGCGCTTCTCCCTTGCTGCCCAGGGACCCATGTCACAAGGGTGGGAGGGGAGCAGTAGCCGATTGATCAGCCTACCGAGACTGCTCCCGGCTGATGAAACACGCAGGTGGGAAGGAGCCATAATGGGGGTTGCAGGGCAAAATCTTGCATGTCTTTATTGGTCCCCAGCTTGACTTTGGGAGCCATGTCCACGAGAGTGAAAGGCGAGCCATGGCCTATGGATGCACCCACTGACACAGCTCCCAGCTGGTGAAATACACAGCTGGTGGCATAAAGGCGAGTTGGGGGGAACATGATGGAAAAGCAGTCCTGAAACCTTTACTGCCTGGCATCTCGAATAAAGTGTCATTGCAATGCATCGCGTCGATTACTTCAATGCACTCATTACAGCCATCACAGTTTCTGAACTTGTCTATATCTTTGCGAAACGAGAGTTGCTACCAACGTATGTGTTACTGGCTGTGAACCAGTTCATGATGGCAGCTGATATGGAAAAAAAAAACCAGAAGAAAAGAGTTGGGAGAGTGGTCACCGAATTATGCTCAGATGAGGCACGAGACGCTTCATCCCAACCCCCTTTCCGGTTTTCTTTCCCATATCAGCTGCATCCAGGAACTGCTTCACAGTGAGGAACGCATGCACCGACACCAATTCCCCTTTCGCGAAGATATACATTAGTTTAGATACTCTGCCGACCAGAATGGGCTCGTTGACGTAAAACCCTCTAACCAACGCTGCAACGATGGAGGGATCAGGCAGCTGCTGATGCTATAGGCAAAGAGGCAGCCTGCTCCCAGTAAGATCTCAAGCTCACCTCAACCAATTGGCACTGGGTCACTATAGTTTTCACAGACTCACTACAGGTGGCACGGACCCAGTACAGTTGGCCACTGGCTCACTGCAGTAAATGTCACCGACCATAAGTTTTTAGAAATCGTGATCTCACTGCGCTTGACCCTCAATCACTGCTTCACGTTTCAAGAACTTGGTTCTGGTAAAAGGCTTAGAACGGATCACCTCTGCTGCCCGTGGTAAGCAATGTAGATGTCGCAGTAGAGCCATAGGGCACTTGAGCCCGTGTCCGGGAACTGAGGCTCGGCAATGGTCCCAAGGAAACTCACCTCTGCTGCGAGCTCGAGCACGTGTGACAGCGGGAGGTATGCAATGTAGACGTCACTGAAGTTGGCATCGGGCACTTGAGCCATGATGGCTGCAAAGACGGCCACCAGGTTGCCGTGAGACAGCATCACGCCCTGCAGGGCAGGCATGGACGGAGGGTGGGGAAGGAAGAGAGAAAGGGAAATAGAGAGCAGCAAAGAGCATGGGTGGATGGAACGCTTGAGCCATGATGGTTAACGCTTGAGCCATGATGGTTAACGCTTGAGCCATGATGGTTAACGCTTGAGCCATGATGGCTGCGAATACGGCCACCAGGTTGCCGTGAGACAGCATCACGCCCTAGAGAGCAGGCAGGGACGGAGGGTGGGGAAGGAAGAGAGAAAGGGAAATAGAGAGCAGCAAAGAGCATGGGTGGATGGAAGCACTAGAGCCATGATGGCTGCAAATAAGGCCGCCAGGTTGTCGTGCGTGGGATGGCATCAAACCTCTATCCTTCCCTCCATCAGCCATGTTGCCACTAGGCCGCCCGTACCCCTATCCTACCCTTCACCAGCCCACCAGACCAGACCCTCACGTGTACATGATCACAGCCAGGTCCAATCCAGTTCCTTCTGAAAGTACACAAGCTCTCAATATCCAGTCCTCTCTGGTTGCAATCCCTATCTTTTACAGGGTGTTTTTGAGAATTCTCAAAAACACCCTGCAATATCCAGTCCTCTCTGGTTGCAATCCCTATCCTAACCTTTAGCAGCCCACCAGATCCTCACGTGTACATGATCACAGCCAGTTCCGGCCCGGCCCAACGAAGTTTCAATTTATCCACATCCAGATCTGTCTGACGGTACTCGTTACCCCTACCGCAATTATTGACCTCACCTTTACCATTACCCCTACCTTGGGAAGCCCAGTCGACCCTGACGTGTACATGATCACAGCCAGATCCGACGGCTCCGGCAGGTCCGGCGCCACCGGCGACTCAAACCCGCTCTTCTCCACGTCAGCAAACGCCAGCAGCTTGACACCTGGCGCCAGCTCACCCTTGGCCACCTTGGCTTCCGCTTCAGTAGGCCCCTCGCCGGCCTCTGACAGGGGCCGTGGCTCGGGCATCATGATGACCCGCTTCACTGTCTCCAGCTCGCCCTTTAGAGACGCCTCCTCGAGCTTTTCTAACTGCTTATGGTCGCAGATTACTGTAGTGACCTCCGTCTGACAATGTGCAGGGATGGAGTTGGGGGAAGAGGACGGGGGGATGCGGGAGGGGAAGGGAGGGGCCGTGGCTCAGTAGGCCCCTTGCCGGCCTCGGGCAGGGGCCGTGGCTCAGGCACCATGATGACCCGCTTTACTGTCTTGAGCTCGCCCTTAAGGGATGCTTCTTCAAGCGTCTCTAACTGCTTGTGGTCGCAGATCACGTGTGTAATGAGTCGACTCAAAACTCGACTCATGACACACAGATCACGGTGGTGACGTCCGTCTGCAGTGTGCGGGACAGGGGTGGGAGAGCGGGGCAGGAGGGAAGTGAGGAGGAACGGGGATGAGCCATCATCATCAGCTCTTCACGCCTTGGCTTCCGCTTCAGTGGGCTCCTTGTCAGCCTCTGACGGGGGTCGTGGCCCGGCCTTCATGACGACCCGCTTCACTGTCTTGAGCTCGTCCGTTAGTGATGCTTCTTCAAGCTTCTCCAGTTGCTTGTGGTCGCAGATGACTGTGGTGACCTCCGTCTGTGTAAGCCAACAGGAATGGGAGTTGGGCGGAAGAGAGGCGTCAGGGGGCGTGGCTCAGTGGGCCTCTTGCCCCACCGAAGCATACACCGCCACCGCCACCAGGCTATCCTAAAACGCGCAGTCGCCACCACCAGGCTCTGCTGGAACGCGCCCCCTATCATCGTCAGCCCCTGCTCATCCCCCCCCATGTTGCCCACGCTATCACATGCCTCGTTCCGGGTATGAACAAGTGATTCCTGCCTGCCCCACCGAAGCACACACCAGCGCCACCACCACGCTCTGCTAAAACATCCTTGCCCCAACCACCTCCCCCCTCCCCCCCTCCCTCCCTCCCCCCCTCCCTCCCTCCCTCCCTCCCTCCCTCCCTCCCTCCCTCCCTTCCTCCCCCCTCCCCCACTCCCTCCCTCCCTCCCCCCTTCCCCCCTACCTCGTTCAACGCGCGCACGAGCGGCTCTTGCCCGAGGGAAGTGTACACCGTCACCACCACCACCACCAGGCTCTGCTGAAACGCGCTTGCCCAACCACCTCCCAGCCCAAATTCACCATCCCTGCCTCCCTTCCCCCTTCCCCCCTACCTCGTTCAACGCGTGCACCAGAGCCTCTTGCCCCAGCGACGCATACACCGTCACGACCACCAGGCTCTGCTGAAACGCGCCCTGCAGCGCGAGGTAGAAGTCCGCGCGCGTCTCCGCCACGATCGCCACCGCCTCCGCACGCGCGTGCCCTGCGTTCCGCAGCCCTCCCCCGAACGCCTCCGCGCGGTCTAGAGAGCGCGAGTACGACTCCCACTCGTACTCCCCAAACTCTAGCTTCTCGATCTCCTTCCCCTCGTCGTTAACTACTATTTCGCGCGTTAGGAACTTGCGCGTGCCGAGCAGCGGGCGGTGGTGGTGGCGGCGCGACGCGATGACGAAGAGCGACGCGACGGTCGTCGCGCCGTCGAAGGGGATCTCGAGAAGCGTGGGAAAGTGCGCGTGGCGGTAGGTGATGCCAGGCGTTCCCGCGTCCATGAGCACGCCGTATAGATGCCGCTTAGAGGGCGAGCTGCGGGAAGGGCGGAAATGGGGAAGGACGAAGGGCCAGGGCGGGGAAGCGAAACGCACACGCAACGAGCATGATATTACTACCCACACAGGGTACCTCAATTAGTGGCCGAGCACAGGACGACGACAAGGAGAATCTTCTGACCGACGGAGAACGACCAATTAACGATCACTATAAGGAACAGAGAGGGTACCCTAGGTACTGCACGAGCACGACGCCGAGGAAGGCGACGGCGACGGGGATCACGGGCGGGTGGAGCAGGCACGACAACTTGTCGACAGCTTTGAAGCTCACGAGCACTCTACGGAGCTAGCACGGCCCCTCAAGTACTGCACGAGGTTGACAACCAGGAACGCGCTTCACCTCGCTACAAAGAAACGCACACCCAACGAGCATGTGACTACAACATTAGTTATGAGTCTATTTTTGAGTCGACTCAAAAATAGAACACGTTACTGCTACCAACAAGGGTACCTCAAGTACTGCACGAGCACGACGACGAGGAACGCGACGGCGACGGGGATGACGAGCGGGTGGAGCCCGTCCACGGCCAGGCTCGCAAACACTAACGGACGCTAGCAGCGAGCGTACCTCAGGTACTGCACGATCATGACAACCAGGAAAGCGACAGCGACGGGGATCACGAGCGGGTGGAGCCCCGCCATCGCCTCCGCGAGACGCGGACCGATGATCGGCAGCACGCGGACGATCTCCGCCGACGCCATGGCGGAACACCGATGAGCTCAGCTGGAATAGCTGGGAATCGCTAAGACGATAATCTGGTAAACCTAAGCAACCCTTATAGATGACAAGAGGTCAACCCTTTCTCTCGCATGAGGAGGAAAATGCCTCTGATTTGAAGTAAATTATAGTGAGGCCTGAAAATGGAATCTAGAGGTTTACTGAGAGCGTAAGGGCAGCCGACGGAACTGGGGTGATTAGCAATGGCTCCCGCGTCGTTGCAGCCAGTGATCGACGGCGTGGTCGTCTCGAACCCGCGACGATCTGGTCACACGGATCTCGATCCAGCTGTGCTCTAGTCAAATGGCCACATGATGAGACTTCTGGAGCCTGTCACGCTGTGGCGTGAATGGGAGAAGTCAAAAAGCACAACACCACCCCGAAATCCACGCCACGCGAATTCGTGGCTTCGTGGCTCACAGTCTGATCGGCTAAACTACCGTATCCATAAGTGACTCTGGACTGGTCTGGACCAATCTGTGTTAGTGGAAGTCTGACGAAGAACAACCTCCAAATCAGGATGAGGTTCGGGCAAACCTCGAGTTCGTACTTTGGGAGGGAAGGTTTAAAATGATCACGGTTATTAGTGGTGGCGGTACGAACTTTGAAAAAGGTAAGAATCAGACACGCCCGCAACCGCAACTCAAATCGCTTCAACCTCACAAGCTCAAACCTTCGGCAGGTTGAAGCTGTGTTCCAAATGAGCCCGAAGTTCATGTGGACCTGGCAAGGCAATGCGCGGTGGATCTGCCCGCATGCGCCCTGACGATGAGCTACCAGAGTGGAAACCTCAGCGAGCGGCCTGGATGAGCCGTGGGGAGGTTCAGTGGAATCGTGAAAGGTGATGGACGGCTGACACGGCTTCTCGGCTGCGGGGAACATCTGACACATCTGCTGGGATGCCCAAAAGTCTGCGCGGGAGAAAGGTGGTGTGCAGTCAAGCTCGTTTGAGAGGCAGGAAATCCCTTAAAGGATTTATTTTTTTAAGATGGGTATGTGACAGAAGTCTATAAAGAGTCATGTAATGAATCTGCTGAAGGATTCCTTCACGCGTACAGAGGGGGACCACAGCAATCCCAGGAATTTGAGCCGCACATTCGGCGGATCCCTTCCCGCCATCAGTCAAGCCAATGAGCTTCATTTCCAACACATGATGAATCAACTCCACCCTGCTCCATTCACAATGCCCCAGCCTTGTTCCTGCAATCAGGATTCGCGACGGCCGCGGGATTTCGCAACTTCAAACCTGATTCCCTTACAGACGTCTCGAAAATGTTTGTTACCGTTTCGCACGTCGTCGCCATCTTGTTTCGTCCTTCCCGTTTTCCCCTCCTTACGGCCTTGCACCAACCTTGGAACACCAGGCCATGGCTGCCGTGCTGCTGGTGGTACTAGTGTGATTCTCCCTCCTCACCACATACCAGCCAGAGAAACACACGTGCACCAAGCTTCTAGGGCTCGACGGGTCTGAGTATAACTTATTCTCACATAGCCTGCTTACTCGAGCATTGGTGTTCCAAACCCTTATCAGGCATTCATACTGCCTCCTAGGAAATCAGAATTCAGGGCTTCGGGCCACTCCTCGCGCTTTCACAAAAACTCTGTTGAACGTGAATAGTGTTCGCGGCTGAGGCTTGACTGCGGGAAGGGGGTGTTAGGGTTGACTTGCATTATCGCCTGTCTACGTGTTAGGTTATACATTACTGCCTGTCGAGTTGCCGTCAGTTCCGATGGTTGGTTCTTCCTCGACTACCTCAGCTTCAGCTGCAGAGGCGAACGGCGCCGAGCAGCCTAAAAGCGACGACTTTGACCCCAGGGGTACGACATCTGGCGACGCGGCTCAGATGTGTTTTGAATCTCCTTGTCCGACCAAGTTAATGCCGCTTTGAGCACGTCATAGTGACCCAGGCGACAGGACTGACCGTGCTGACGAAATATGCCAGGTTTAGGTTAGCCATGAAAAATCTCGTTCCGTTGACCAGCTCGGAATCGGGCCTTCTACCGGTACTCCCTTGTATGTTCGCTGTAACCGCGTTCCAGGGTAAAGATCTTGCCTTTTTCACTGCGCGAAGGGAAATGCGCGTCTTTCATAGTCTTCCAATCTGACCCCTTTCATCTGCCTCCCTCCTTCGCCAATCTCCGCGCATCCTTCCTTTCCCAGAGGTATGCATCGTGGGAGCAGCGCGCACGCCCATGGGCAGCTTCATGGGGTCACTCTCGTCGCTCTCCGCCACGCAGCTCGGCGCCATCGCCATCCGAGGTCAGCGTCCTGCCTTAGCCATCAGAGGTCGAGTGTAAGGCGCCTCAACAGTCGCCCATGGGCAGCTTCATGGGGTCGCTCTCCTCGCTCTCCGCCACCCAGCTCAGCTGACCTCAGATGGGATGGCGATAACGGAGAGCGCCATCGCCATCCGAAGTCAGCATCCTGCCGTCCATACTAGCTTTTGAGGCCACCCAAAAGCTTCTTGGGGTCGCTCTCGTCGCTCCCTCTCCGCCACCCAGCTCCGGTCCATCGCCATCCGAGGTCAGCCGTCTCATTCCAGCCCTTTTCCGGTCTTCCCACTTCTCAGACATCAGGCTTGAGTCTCGTGCCTCGTCGCTCTCAGGCGCTGCTTCTCAGCATGCTTCAGAAGTTCAGAGGCAGGCATCAGCCCCTTTCCTTCTACCTCCCCTTGCTCTCCGCTACCCAGCCCACCACCCAGCTCGGCTCTCGGCTCTCGGCTCTCGGCTCTCGCTCGGCCCAGCTCGGCCGTGGCTTCGTCCCTGCAGACGATGAAGGGGTATTTATGGTCAACATGCGCGCTGTGGAGTCATTCCTTAGAATTCTTAAAAATTACTCCCCTGCAGACGATGAACTCTGCGGACAGGTATCCATGGTGCACTCTGCGGACAGGGATCTGGAGCAGGCGCCAGCCAGACACACAGGCTCTCATGCACGCACACCACACACCTCCCTCCTCTCCCCTTCCCACCCCCCCCCCCCCCCCACCTTTTTCCTGCAGAGGCGGTGGAAAGGCCTGGCCTGGCACCTGCAGACGTTGACGAGGTGGTCATGGACTCATGGGGCAATTTGCGCAGTGCGCACCTGGGTTATGCGCCAGCCAGACACGCAGGCTCTCATGCTCGCACACCTCCCTCCCTTCTTTTCTTGCAGAAGCCATGGGGCGATCTGGCTTGGGACCCGCAGACGTGGAGGAGATGTACATGGGCAACGTGCTCAGTGCGCACCTGGGGCAGGCGCCAACCAGGCAGGCACTCACTCAGACCGGCACGTGTATCCACATTCCTCCCTCCCTCTCTTGTTTTCCTGCAGAGGCCGTGGGGAGGTCCGGCTTGGGCCCAGCTGACGTGGAGGAGGTGTACATGGGCAACGTGCTCAGTGCGGACCTGGGGCAGGCGCCAGCCAGGCAGGCGGCACTTGGGGCAGGGCTACCTGACTCGGTGGTGGCGACCACAGTCAACAAAGTCTGTGCCTCGGGGATGAAAGGTGCGTGCTACAGGGTATACAGAGACTGTCTTCCTAGCTGTGTCAGTGTCTCAGTGCGGACCTGGGGCAGGCGGCACTTGGGGCGGGGCTACCTGACTCGGTGGTGGCATGGCGACCACGGTCAACAAAGTCTGTGCCTTGGGCATGAAAGGTGCGATGTGGTGATATGGGAGTGCCGCGGTGGTTAGGGGTGTGCTGTGGTGGTGAGGGGTGTGGTGCGGTGATGAGGGGAGTGCTGTGGTGATGAGGGGTGTGCTGCAGTGAGGAGGGGTGTGCTGCGGTTCTGCAGCGGTACCCACGTGATAGCACAGTGGGTAGTGTGTGCCGTGCTCTCTTCTCCTCACGTTACTCGCTTCTCCTCTGCCTGCTGCCTGCTGTCTCCCTGTTTGGCCCTTTTTCTGCTCCCCTTACCTGCAGCCATCTGCCTGGCAGCGCAGTCAATCATGCTGGGGTTAGCAGCCGTGGTGGTGGTGGCTGGGGGGATAGGATGACTCTTGTAACGACTGACGAAACTGCTCCATTGTCTCGTCCCTCCTGCTCCCGAACCTTCTTTCTGCTCCCCTTACGTGCAGCCATCTGCCTGGCGGCGCAGTCCATACTGCTGGGGCTAGCTGACGTGGTGGTGGCAGGGGGCATGGAGAGCATGAGCAACGCGCCTTACTACCTCAACCAAGCCCGGTGAGTGAGAGGGAGACACACCTAGTCACCCTACCTCGCAAGCCAAGTAGCTGGCCTCGCCGCCCTACCATTATTCTGGGGGTGGCAGACGTGGTGGTGGCAGGCGGCATGGAGAGCACGAGCAACACGCCTTACTACCTCAACCAAGCACGATGAGCAATAATCCCAGGCCTAGCCAACCCAGGCTGACCAAGCCTGTGCCCGAATCCCCCCCTTATCGCACTCACCTCCTGCTGTATTCTCTCTTGAGCAATAACCCTATGGCGTACTACTTTTGAGGCGCCTCAAAAATAGACTTGTGCCAAATACACCCCTTCTCGCACTCACCTTTTGCTCTACTCGCCCCTGAGCAGTAACCCCATGGCGTACTATGAATCATTCTCTCCTGCCCTTGCCTGGCGCTACCAGGAGTGGGTAGCGCTTCGGGCACGGGGGGGTGGTGAGCATGGTGCCACAGGGCGGATTGGGTGACGCACACAAGTTGCGATGAGCCCATGCCATGGGGTGCTTAATGATGTCTTGTGCCACCTCTCCTGCCCTTACCTCACTTCACCAGGAGTGGGTACCGCTTCGGGCACAGGCGGGGGTGGTGGGGAGGGTGCAAGAAGACGGATTGAGCTATGCATACAGCGACGAGCCCATGGGGTGCTTTGCGGAGCAGTGTGCGGAGGAGCATGGGATCGGTAGGGCGATGAAACTTCCCCCACATCCCCCCATCATCCCCCACATCCCCCATCATCCCCCGCATCCCCCCATCATCCTCCACATCCCCCCATCATCCCCCACATCCCCCCATCATCCCCCACATCCCCCCATCATCCCCCGCATCCCCCCATCATCCTCCACATCCCCCCATCATCCCCCACATCCCCCCATCATCCTCCACATCCCCCCATCACCCCCACATCCCCCCATCATCCTCCACATCCCCCCATCATCCTCCACATCCCCCCATCATCCCCCACATCCCCCCATCATCCTCCACATCCCCCATCATCCTCCACATCCCCCCATCATCCCCCACATCCCCCCATCATCCTCCACATCCCCCCATCATCCCCCACATCCCCCCATCATCCTCCACATCCCCCCATCACCCCCCACATCCCCCCATCACCCCCCACATCCCCCCATCACCCCCCACATTCCTTCTTCAGGAGTGGGTACCGATTCGGGCACGGGGAGATGGTGGACGGGGTGCGGAAGGACAGGTTGAGCGATGCGTACAGCAATGAGCCCATGGGGTGTTAACTGTGTCTTGTGCTCCCTCTCCGTCCTGCCCTTGCTCACGCTACCAGGAGTGGGTACCGCTTTGGGCACGGGGAGATGGTGGACGGCGTGCAGAAGGACGGGCTGAGCGACGCGTACAGCAACGAGCCCATGGGGTGCTTTGCGGAGGAGTGTGCGGTAGAGCATGGGATCGGCAGGGCGCAGCAGGACGCGCATGCCACCTTGACTCATGAGCGGGCGGCTGCTGCTCATGCTGATGGGGCGTTTGACTGGGAGATAGTGCCTGTGAGTGTGCTTGTGAGTGAGTGTGAGTGAGAGTGCAAGTGAGTGTATGGGGTTGGAAATGTGAGTGAGGGAGTGTGTTCGAGTGTACGTGTGGGTGTGAGTGAGCGTGCAAGTGCATGCGAGTTCATGTGGGTTCCTCTTCCCCTGCCCTATCTCTCAGGTTGAGGTGGAGGCGTCCAAGGGCAAGCAAACGGTTCTTATGGAGACAGATGAAGCATGCGCATTCCCCACCCTCACTTCTCTTTCTCTTTCCCCCTCTCCCCCTCCCCGTCTCCCCCCCCCTCTCTCCTCCCGCCCTCCTCCTCCCCTCCTGCCCCATTTCTCAGGTGGAGGTAAAGGCGTCCAAGGGCAAGCAAACGGTTCTCGTGGAGAGGGACGAAGCATGCGCTAAGGTAAGGCGAGACTGTCAGCATGGGGGATCGAAGGGTGCGTGGGGAGGGGAAGGTTGCTGCGATGGACAGGAATGGAAAGGAATGGAAAGGAATGGAAAGGAATGGAAAGGAATTGAAAGGAATGGAAAGGGGTGGAAAGGGATGGAAAGGAATGGAAAGGAATGGAAAGGGATGGAAATGAATGGAAAGGAATGGAAAGGAATGGAAAGGGATGGAAATGAATGGAAAGGAATGGAAAGGGATGGAAAGGAATGGAAAGGGATGGAAAGGAATGGAAATGAGTGGAAAGGAATGGAAAGGAATGGAAAGGAATGGAAAGGAATGGAAAGGGATGGAAATGAATGGAAAGGAATGGAAAGGAATGGAAAGGGATGGAAATGAATGGAAATGAATGGAAAGGAATGGAAAGGAATGGAAAGGAATGGAAAGGAATGGAAAGGAATGGAAAGGAATGGAAAGGAATGGAAAGGAATGGAAAGGAATGGAAAGGAATGGAAAGGGACGGAAATTAATGGAAAGGAATGGAAAGGGATTGAAAGGAATGGAAAGGGATGGAATGGGAGTCAGGGTTTGGTCTTGGGGTTTGGGATGAGCTACGAAGCTACGCCCGCTTCGGTCTTGGAATTCAGGAATAAAAGGGGGTCCTCTTTTTGATGCCCGTCGTTGGTCACACAGAGCAGTGTTCATGCGGCAGCTTCTCATTCTCACGCCTTCCTTCTCTGCATGCTTTCTTCCTTCCGCCCGTCCCCACTCTCTCTGCCAACAGTTTGGCGCCAACAAGCTTCGCCTTTCTGCGCTCATGTTTCCTGGAGAAAGGCCCTATCAGGTTTGCCACAGCTGGCAAACGAAGTGGATTTCATTCCGCTCACTGTCCTTCCCCGTGTGCCTCTTCCCCCTCCCCTCCCCCCCCCACCCCCTCCTTCTCAACAGTTTGACGCCAACAAGCTTCGCCTGCTGCGGTCATGCTTCCAGGAGAATGGGACCGTCACAGCTGGCAACGCCTCTGCCATCAGGTATGCCAGCTGGCAATGTATCTTCCCTCAGGCATCCGTTCTGCTCTTTTCTTCCTCGTCCCCCTCCACTTATTCCCCTACCCTTTCCTCCCTGTTCAGTGGTGGCCTCGCCAACCGCTGTCCCCCCCCCCCTTCCCTCCCCCCATTTTTTCCAATCATCTACTCATCCCTGAATTAGCAGCGGGGCAGAAGCAGTGGTGCTGGCGAGCCGCCAGGCAGCCAGGCAGCACGGGCTAAACGTGCTCGCAGTGGTGAGGAGCTTTCCAACCGCCCACCCTTCCCCATCTCCCCCCTTCCCCCCCCGTCTCCCCCTAACTCCCCTCCCCTCATTGCCCTTCTCTCCACCAATCAGCGATGGAGCAGCAGCAGCGGTGCTGGCGAGCCGGCAGGCCGCCAGGCAGCATGGGCTGAACGTGCTTGCAGGGCTCAGGGGCTTTCCAACCGCCCGCCCTCCCCCATCTCCCCCCGTTTTTCCCCATAACTTCTCCCCATGTTCCCCACAACGTCTGGACATCCCCCCCATGTTTTCCCCCATCTCCCCTCCTCCTTTCAATCAGCGATGGAGCAGCAGCTGTGGTGTTGGCCAGCCGGCAGGCAGCCAGGCAGCACGGGCTGAACGTGCTGGCAGTGGTGAGGGGCTTCGGGGATGCGGAGCAGGCGCCCAGCCGCTTCACCACCGCTCCTGCTCTGGCTGTGCCGGTTGCTCTGAAGCACGCGGGGGTGGAGCAGTCGGAAGTCGATTATTGGGAGATCAATGAAGCTTTTTCGGTGAGGCAGGTGTCTGTTGTGCGGTTGGTAGTTGCAATGCCCCAAGGACTGCCCTTGCTGTGCTGGTGGCTGACACTGAAAGGCATGCGGGGCTGGAGCAGTTGGAGATCGACTACTGGGAGGTCAATGAAGCCTTTTCAGTGGGTTTTGAGGGACTTTTGGGGGACGTTATGAGTCACCCCTGAGCCAAGTTGATTCATGCACCAGATCAACTGGGATGGGCGCAGCTCAGGCTGATCACCCCACCGCCCTTCACCCTCCTCACCCGCTCCATGCCCATCACTCCAGGTGGTTGCTCTGGCCAATCAAAAGCTCCTCCATATTCCCGAATAACCGGCATGGGGGAGAAGTGGCGCTGGGCCATCCCCTGGGGTGCAGCGGAGCGCTAAAGAGCAGCGCATTTCACCGCACTCCACCCCTCTTCACTGCATTCAACAGGTTCCATGGCATCCCTGCTCCTTCTCAGGTGGCAGCTCTGCCCAACCCAAGGATCCTAGATATCCCTGAGAACCGGCTGAACCTGATACTTACCGCATTCCACCGCACTCACAATCCTCCCCAGGTGGCAGCTCTGCCCAACCCAAGGCTCCTAGATATCCCTGAGAACCGGCTGAACGTGCAGGGGGGGGATGGTGGCGCTGGGCCATCCCCTGGGGTGCAGTGGGGTGCCAGTGTGGTGCTCTGCATTGCACCACACTCCACCGCACTCCTCCCCTCTCCACCCCACCTTATGCTAGCCTCCAGGTGGTGGCCCTTGCCAACCAGAAGCTCCTGAATATCCCTGAGGACCGGCTGAACGTGCACAGGGGGGGGCTGTGGCGCTGGCCAATCCCCTGGGGTGCAGTGGAGCCGAATTCTCACTGCATTCCACCGCACTCCTTCCCAAGTGGTTGCCCTAGCAACCAAAAGCTCCTGAATATCCCCGAGGGCTGGCTGAACGTGCATGGGGGGCGGTGGCACTGGGCCTCCCTGGGGGCAGTGGAGCTTAAAGAACAGCACATTTCACCGCATCCACCACACTCCACCCCCCTTCACTATCCTCCACAGGTTGTCCCTCTGGCGAAACCAAAAGCCTCCCGAATATCCCCGAGGACTGGCTAAACGTGCACGGGGGGCAGTGGCACTGGGCATCCCCTGGGGTGCAGTGCAGTGGAGCCCTAAAGAATAGCACGTTTCATTGCATTCCAACGCACTCCACCTCTGTTCACTCTCTGCCCCAGGTGGTCGCTCTGGCGAACCAAAAGCTTCTCAATATCCCTGAGGACCGGTTGAACGTGCACGGGGGGCGGTGGCGCTGGGGCATCCCCTGGGGTGCAGCGGGGCGCGCATCGTGGTGACGCTGCTGGGGGTGCTGAGGAAACACGAGGGCGCGCTGGGGGTGGCTGCGGTGTGCAACGGAGGGGGCGGGGCGTCAGCAGTGGTTGTGCAAGCCGAGTGAGTGCCCCGAGGTTGCGGGTTTTGGGTTCAGGTGAGAGGAGGCAGGAGGGCAAGCTAGCGGATTACAGTCCAGGGATTAGGGATGTGGGGCATCTCCTGTGGTGCACTGGCCCGTGAATGGTTGCCACGCTGCTGGGGGAGTTCAGGGGGCAGGAGGGCAAGCAAGAGGTGCCAGGGTACTGGATACATCCACACGTCATGCCCACCTCTTTTTCATGTGGTTTTGGGTCGGCTGAAAAACATGCTCTTGTTCTCTCTTTCTCCACGTCTCGTATTCACGTTAGTTTGGCAGGTTGTTTTTTAGAATTCTCAAAACCAACCTGCAAGGTCAATGTATATATCCACATTTCACGCCTGCCTCTTTCATAACAGGCTTTTGTTCTCTCTCTGTCTCCCCTACTCTCGTGTTCACGATGGCTTGGCAGGTCGCTGGATACTTCCACATGTCATGCTCACCTGTAACATGACTTATTGTGTTCACACGGTTACTGATAGTTATCTTATACACAGACCTATTGCGTTTCATTGGCTTGGCAGGTCTTTGGGTGCATCCATGTGCGCACTTGTAACACTATTTTGTTTCACATACCGTATCCACCCGGGGATTAGACCCCGGTATCAGAATAACGCAATAACTAGAATGAGGCATACATGCAGGTTTTGTGCTACGGTGCTGTACTCTTTATAAGCATGCATCTATCTAGCCTATAACAATATATAAATATGTTGACACTGCCACACGTATCTTAGTAAGCTACTGTAGACTATACAGGTTTGTACCTTTGAGGGTACAACTCTCTAGCTTATATTACATTGTACCCTCCTATTCTATTTTTATTATTCAGTTGTAAGATGGTATCAGCAGTAGGTAGGTCCCGCTGCCCGCCCACGCCTCCGCCCTTGGTCCAAGCCGCCCATTCCCTTAGGCACGCTGTTCCTAGCCAGCCGCGCGCCTGTTCCTGACGGCCCTCGCGCCCGTCCTAGCTGGCCTCTCGCGCAGGGCTGACTT